TCTCTCTCTCTCTCTCTCTCTCTCGTTCAGCAAGTACGTATCTCTGAAATATAAAGCCGCCCAGCAATCAGCTCAGTCCAGTCGCCCCTGTACGCTGTACACTGTCCCATCACCAGGGATAGCAAGCAGCAGTATTGTATTGGTTTACAGCAAGGGGGTTGTAAAGTCCTTGGTTTACAGTAATTGGATGTCCAGTGTTAATGATGTCGAGTGGTTGCTCTTCAGGTCAATGCGTACCTGTACAAATGGCGGCGCCAACACTCACCAGGGAAATGTCGATAATCTGCACCGAGTGACCTCGCGTGGAGGCCCCCCCCACACTCACTCCCTTAATTAATTGGTCGCTTTTAAGCACAAGGAGGCTATCTCGAAAAAATGCTCTTCTTAGAAAAATCGAAGGCAAAGTTTTTGCCCCTTGTTTAGTTTCTTTGAAAGTCAAAGAGAGTTTTTCTCTATAACCAAACAAATATACACACCAATGAAACCAAACTTCTCCTATACGTAGGGCAATGCCCATTTTTTGGTGTAGGTCAAGATTTCTGGAAATAACCGAAATCTGGGTAAGCCCGCTTGTCCTTAAAAGCGACCTATTGTTGTTATTAACCTTTTCTCCTACGCTTTCTCTTTTACATCGTGGATGGTTGGTGGGTGCTCTGACAAGAATTGCTTCTTATTTTGTTTCAAACATCTATCGTCCATATCTTCTTTCGTCTTATTTTAAATATTTGTACCCATGTTACTCTCTAGAGATTTTCGGTATTTATAAGGTTAGTTAGTTGCGTCTTCATTGTTCAGATCTTGGAACATTGGTTAGGTGTTTCACCACGTACATACACCTGCCCCCCTACCCCACCACCCTCTCCCAAAAACACAAAACACACTCGCGCACACACTAATACATTGTCTCCTCCTCAAACATTTGTATGCTTAAATAATAATATTATAGTGTTATTATGGTAATATGTTTGTACTCACAAACAGGTTCACAGTCACATGCATAATATAACTGAACAGTAACTGATAGCTAGATACGTGATCAGTATTCTGATTGTAACCCAAAGGTAATCTGATATTTAACGCTTTCAAGGTCACAGGAATACTTATATTGCAATATGATTAAGATGGACGATGGTAAATGTGAACTTGAGTATTTTTCTACGTTACAAATCAGAAGCCTTGGTCTTTTCCTTCTCATTGATATTTTAATTTTAGGGGAAAAAACGATCCTGGTTATCCAAAAAGATGGATTTATTTTCCTAGTGCAAGCAGTAATGAATAATTCATCGATAGAAAGGAAAACAGATGTCGAAATTTGCATGCTTTCCGTATTAATCGATTATGATTTACTTTATCTTGGTGTCCTGAGTTTCCCGCCCATGCTGTCATACAAAAATTGATCATACTTGATATGATTGAATGATAAAATAATATGGTCATAAAAGATACATCAGCTTGGAAGTAGGCCTAGAATCTACATGATGTTCCTCAGGGGAAACAAAACGTTTTTTTACTCACTTTTTAGGCTGGAGAGAAGGGTAGACACTAGACACGCA